TTTTGCTGTGTTCCTTAACTTTAAAAAATTTATCTCACAACATAACCAGTTCTGCATCAAAAACAAGGCAACTGAATAACACCAAATTTGTTTTAATTGCAGTTTGACCGTGATTTGACTGCACTTGCTTAGTTTTTTAGCTTCCTTTTTTTCCTTTTCAACTTAAATTGCTGTAAACTTTACGAGAGGCTTGTGTAAATGAGCGGTAGACAAACCACTCTCTAAAACTATTCTTCAATTTCAAAGACAATGGAGAGTATCTGTTTCTGCAGTGATCTGCTGCTCGACTACAAATTTGGTCTATTAAATCCACTCGACACACCCTGATTTCTCTAAGTGCTTCTCTGCGCTCAAAAACGTACAATTTTTGTATTATTAAGTTACATTACGTACAGTACAATTTCATGCACCTGATAAGGAGTTTTTGCTATTTAGATGGCCACAACAAAAAACATTTTATTCTCAAATTACGAATTTATATTTTCAAAAAATTTTGAGCAGCAGATGATTGCAGTGGCCGAAGTTGAAATGAAGAAACATCCTAAAACAGTGCTGGTTCACAGAATATTTGAAGTGGACGAGTCAGTTAAAGAGTTCGTTTCTGCGTCGCCTTAATAACAGGGTTTCTTTATGACATAGGGATTTTAGCTCTAATGACACCCTGGCAGGCATCAAATATCACATCGCCATCAAATTGTTACAGCAGTAACTGAAGAATTTTAGTCTACCCAAGAAGAAAAAATGCACTTGCAGTTCTTTTGAAAGAGGCAAAAGCTGTCGAATTCCACTCGCGATATTTCAAAGAAGGTCATACAATACCCGGTTTAAAGGAATGGCTTCAAAGAAAGCTTCCAGACAATAAACCTTCCGTTGATCGTGTAGTAGCGTAAGCCTTCTGAAATCGTTGATGTGAAAACTTGCAGTTTTTCTTTACATTATATAATATATTAAATACTTTTCTTTCGTAGTTGCAAATTTGAGCTCTCTTGTTTAACCCAGTTAAAAACTGTCATAATCCACAACTCCGAGAAAAGTTAGATAAAATTACCTCAAAATCTTCCCGGAAACGCAAGATTTTACTCCTAATACAGTTTCGAAAACTGGGAATTTTACTTCAGAAGCGTAATTCATGGGTTTCAATGTTCTAAACAAAATTGTAAAAAGCAGTAAAATTGTAGAAAACATATATCTGATGATACAACTTAAAATGTAAATTCTAAAATACATCTTATTGTCTTTGGCACTACTTATGAAATTAAAATAATATTCAAAAACTAAAAAAATGGGGGCTGGGTTTGATTTTGTCTCAAATCTGACAAACAGTGAGCAGAAAAGCTTTTCTGAATACACTGCTCGGCAATTTTACATCGTCATTCCCTGTCAAAATATAACACTATGAAGGGTAAAAAGCAACATGCAGGTTTATCTTCAAATACACAAGAAAAGGCTGGGAACCGCAACTCGTTTCTTTAACAACCATTCAGTTTCACGACGAAAACTTTCCTTACTACTGCTTCGACAATACAGTTTTGGTAAAAAAAATTCAAAACGACATTATAAGCCTTCTTCTTCTACTGAGATTATGTGGTAAAAAACAGTTTTACAGAAGAGAATCCAAATCATTTGTTTTTTGGCACTGTGACAACCCAATTTATTCTGCGTATTTCGTAAAAACAGAATACTGCTTACATGAAACATTTATTGAATCATATTATACTGTATTTATGATAGATTTAACAGTTGGAGCTCTGTGCTTATGAAAAAAAGACTCCAGTTTTTCAGCATTATTATTCCAAAATTTATAAAAAAGAATCAAGAAACAAAACAATAAATAAGTAAACAGACGTTAGTGTCATTGCTGTTGTTTTGTCAGTGTTTTTAAAGCTTTATATTTTGCTCTACTGGGTTTTTATAAACAATGCTTTTAAAGACAATTTTTAGAAGTGGGAACTATGTCGACATAATTATACATTTGCTGTAGTCAGTAATGTTATTATGGTTTATCGAGGAATCAAGACTTCTCCAGGTAACATGAGAAAGATCCAACTGTTGGGAAGAAAACAGTGCAGTGAGGCTACAGTAGCTTTCAATGAACGAATGATGAAGGAACACCCGGAGACACAAGAACTGTGCCCTAAAATCTGATAATTACGTTGTGCTGATAAATATTGCCTTTTAATATAGAAGTTGTTTCATTAAATTTTTTCGTTTTTCAAAACATGGCTAACATTCAAATGCACACAGGTTTAGAGAACCTCACTGAGAAGAAAAAAAATAGAGAGTCATATAAGGAAAGAAAGCCGTCTGTAATTTCTGCACTTTGGTTATTTTACACTCGTACTCCTTCTGGATTTTGAAATTGTTTGAAATTATGCTTTGTAAATATAAACGTTTAATGTTTCTACCGAAGTGATCACATTTTTTGCTGCCGAAACAAGAACTGTTCAGAACGAACTTTTAATTGAAACGGGGCTTTTTTTTTTTACTAGAAATGTCGCACATTCAGAAAGAAACAAATTCTTTTCAACAATTTCTTTTTGAGAAACGCTATATTTTGATGTAAAGTACCTAATGCTAGCAATACGCTAAAGTTGTTTGCTTCAATGCTACACTGTACTTGGCTAAATAATAAAGCTATGCTGCTTTATTTGGCCTCGAACTGGACACTCATACGTTTCAATACGACTGAGTGGAATGAACAGTATCATTACTGGTCATTGTGTCAGTTTCTAATTGCTGTTTAATTCCGCAATTCTTTCTCTGTTGAACCTCATAAAATTAAAATTGAAGTAACACAAAAGGATTGTTTAGTGTTGATTAAGTAAAGTCAAATCAAGTTCTTTATTTTACTGGAGTGTCACCATATCAGTTATCAAAGCTATGCAAAATCGACAATTACTTATTAACACATATCGTGTATGTTAAGAAATATTTCCTTATGATAATTATAAAGAAAAAAACGCTTTTTTTGTTCTTCTAAGTATTTTCGGTTTTGTAAATATTGGAACCTTGTTGCAAGATTCTCTAAAGTATATTTAATTTTACTGTAAGTTACTAAAATTCTGTAGCAGTTCAGTGATCCATAGACGACTGTTATAACCTTCCAAAAACAAAAAATAAATTTTAATACTAAGACGTGTTTAGATTATAGAAAAGACTAAAGAGAAAAAGAGTACACCAGGTTGCATAAAAAAGAAAAGGGGCTCTAAAGGGTACCTCTTGGCTGCGAAAAGAAGAATTTTGAGATATCTCACACAGTAGCTGATGGAACCAGCGGAGAAAAAGGTTGAGCAACATTTATTTTCACTGAGTCATGTTTTACAGCCCATCAACAACTTTTTATGCCAGTCGAAAAGATTCTTTTGCAAGAAGTATTGTAGATTTTTTCCTGCTTTATAGTTCGTTAACTTTTGAGATTTAGTAAACGGGGGTTAATCGATGCTGCAAAAATTATGCTTATGTCGTTCCAAATGTTCTTCTCTGAAAAGGTTTGTTGCAAGAATACCTTCTCAGAGATGAAAATTTGATCCTAACCAAAAATTCTCTCAAAGCTGACCAAAAAAGTTGACAGAACGGTCAAACAATCATTAATTACATCAATTTTCTTGATGTTTTGTACAGTACAGTGCTGAGTTGGTTAAAGTAATACTCTATTCCCTGTTATCACAGTTCCTTTGCGCACTTCAGGTTCTTGCACGGAAAAAAGTTCTTTGGCAGTTTTCCATAATCTTTTTAAATTTTTCTGTGATAGGGAATTCGCGGAAGCGTTCATATAGCTTAATTTTTTGGGATGCGTTTACTTGCTGTTTGATTATGTTGTCATTCGAATCATTAAATCTGCTTCGTCCTCTCATTCTGTGTTGATGTTACATGCATTTTTGTTTAGGACAATATTCCTAAAAGGTGTTTCTATTGTTCAGTCTACTCCTCATAATTCTTCTAGTGCATAGTCTGAGTATTTCAGTTTTTTGTACATTGCCTGAGCAAAAGATTTCCGTATTCAGATGTTTCGGGAAAAAATTAGATGCTAAGGCAACAATGGTAAACGCATTGCTGTCGAACTGGTCTGAAAACACGTCATTGCAGAAAACATTGAAAAGATAAGTGAATGGATGAAACGCTGATTTTACGATGGACTTTTTTCAACCATGATTGCTTCTCTTAACATCCTGTTAATATATTTCTATTGAGATAAGTGGTGAGTGGAGTGTAATTATGTATATTATCTGAAACGTCTTTATTCTTGTTTGGTTTCTTCAAAAAGTGGAGGGGAGGAATTTTTACTTTTTATTTTTAAATAATATGTTTTTAAGCCGCTTTAGAACAATTTTTTAGTGGTTTCTTCCGAGCATTATTGAATTTGTAGCTAGTACTACAATAGATGCTGGTTTCTAAACTATTTATATGTACCCGTATGCTTATGAACACAGTGCAAACATGTAGCAAACGTTTTTTCTTTTTCTGCTGATACATCGAGTTGTTTAAATTTGCACCATTAAAGACTAAGCCATGGCTGTAGAGAAGAAGACAGTAACCATCTGTATTTCAAGAAAAAACCCGGCTTATGGAACACTGCTAACTTTGGCAGCAGCTGGTTTTGATGTTGAAAAGTCTATAGTGCTTGTTGATTCGGATGAAAATGGACTAACGCTGTATGTGCTTATAAGTAGTAGTTCTGCGGAAACATTTTTTTGCAATTAATTTTTTATATTCTTTTCGTTATTAGCTGTGAGACACTTTTCTTCAAATCTCCAACTGATCTGATAAATTTTAAGTGACGGCGTGAATTACACCAATGACACAACGATTGCAAGATTTATTGCGAGAGCGTCGGATAGTGCGGGAGTTTTGTTTGGGAAAAACGCTTTTGAACAAGCACAGGCTAGCAACGATGCCACATTTTGCTTGACTTGGATTTGCTTACTTTACTGACATGCTGTAGGAACTTTGTAGCCTTTCTAATGTTGGCTTCAGGTTGATTACTGGGTCTGCCTAGTTGAACGGGGCTTTGTCTTTGACGAACTGTTTCGCTTGGCGTCTGAGAAACTGAAACAAAACGCAACTCTTTGTCTTGGAAGGCGAACGTTAGCGGACTTAATCCTTTGGACTGCTCTGTCTTCACGGGCAAATGTGAATTTTTTAAATAATATAAGAAAGTGGTTGTTTTCATTAAAAAATTGATCTTATATGGGAAAAAATTTCTGTTTGATAATTAATAGCAATTGAAATTTCTTGGAAAGCCACCGCTTACTTTAGTGATAGATGTCAGACTTAGAGCAGCCAAATCCTTTCATGATTGTTTTTATGAAATATGAGTTTACCAATTTAATTTTCTTGTATATCAGTTCAAATATTGTCCTTAATTGCAGATTGATGAATCTTTTCGGAGATTTTTTGATGGTATTTTGCATGATCCTGCTTTAAGTGCTGCTCATGTAATCGCTGGAAGGTTTAAGGATTTTTCTGTAATTTCGGAGAACTTGTCACCTAAAAGTCGTCCTGCAAAAGCTGTAATTCTTGATTGGATACGTTTTCTTTGAATTGATAATTTTTTATTTTCTTGTCTAGCATACTGAAGCAAAAGTTGCTATTGTTTAGGAGAAACATAAAGAGGGAGCAAAGAGTAAACCGAAAACGAAGGACGAGGGCAAGTTTGTTGATTTGCCGGGTGCTGAGAAGGGGAAAGTTGTTGTCCGTTTTCCGCCAGAAGCAAGCGGGTAGGCTTTCTGTTGCTTTTTATAGTTGGTTTTTCAAGTTTCAAAACGATGAGAGATTGTGGTTTTTTCATAGTGTTAAAGCACAGAATATGCTTTTATTGAGTTTTAGTATTTCTTAGACGTGAACTGGTATAACTTCATCTTCTGTTTTGCTATGGCTGTTGAGTTAAATCTTTTTTTGTAAATCTGAAAGTTTAAGTAATTTTTTTTTGTAGTTATTTACACATTGGACATGCAAAGGCGGCGCTGTTGAATCAGTATTACCAGCAGCTTTTTGAGGGGCAGCTCATAATGCGGTTTGATGATACGAATCCAGCCAAAGAGAGTTCTCACTTTGAAAAGGTATGGAAATTTTTATTTACAGACATTTGTTCCCATGAAATTTTTTCTATATCAGGATTGGTAGGTGAGCATTTCAGCTTTTTTGGAATGCGTTGCATTTTATCTGCCAAATTTTATGAAGTTGTCTTGAAGGTGATTTTGGAAGATCTAGAATTACTAGAAATCAAACCTGACCGTTGGTCGCATTCGTCAGATTATTTTGATGTTATTCTTGACTATTGTGAACGACTTCTTAAAGAAGGCAAAGCCTACGTTGACGAGACAGATGCAGAAACGATGAGGAAGGAGCGGGAAGAAAGGAAGGAAAGCAAATACCGAAATTCTTGTCAGTCTATAAAATGCAATCTTTAAATTGGCTTTAGTTTAATGAGCATATAATTTTGAATCGTTCTTATTGAGCCTGTTTAAGCCATTGAACAGAACTTGCTGTTGTGGGAAGAAATGAAAAGAGGTACTGTCGAAGGTCAGAAGTGCTGCGTACGAATAAAAATTGATATGCAAAGCAATAACGGAGCGATGCGAGATCCTACAATTTACAGGTGCAAGAACGAACCTCATGTCCGATGGGGTGACAAGTACAAGTACGTTTGATTTATCTTACTCTGGGAGTTTCCTTTTTATTTTTTTCCAGAATATTCAGTTTTCTGTAGATTTGTTATGTTAATACACTTCCATATTACTTCC